AGTGCAGAACAGTTGGTAAGCTAGTGACAGTATCCGAATATCATACTGCCGAGCAGAAGTGTACTCTTTTGGTACTCAAGATAGTGTTTAAAGACATTTTATGATTTTAAAATGTGTCCAATGCAATATGTGTTTAAAAATATGGTCCACCTTCTCTTCGCATTTGCTAATGCACCTTTGAATACTTTATATAGCAAAGGACACGTGTTTTGCTTTGATTACGTACATAAGACTTTTAAAGCACAAACCGAATAGGAAGATGAGCAGCCTACTAGAACGTAGTTGATGATGCTTAGATAAGCAAAGAACTTGGCAAAAGAGAAATATTTATTTTACCAGGATGCACAACTGCCCAGACCCTCCAATTATGACCTCTACCTTAACTATTCACTCTCTTAGACCTATCGTTTAGTAATAGTAAATGTGTATTCTGGCATGGTCTAATTTGTCTGCAGAAAGGTGTGGATCACGAAGTGAAAAGTAATTCACTATTTAATTGTCATGTTTTGCATACTTGTGCTCCTTAAAATCCTAAACTTTATGTCATCTTTAATACCTCAAAACACTTAGCTGATTCAACTAATATTTCACTGTGTTCTTATAACACTCTTCTGTAACTACAGAGATTTAGCGCTTTGCAACATGCATGTCAACAACATCTGCCCTCCCCAGCAAAAAAGTTCTCTTTTACTCTCTACTACGTTGATTGGGTAAATGGTATTGGAAGCTGTTGCCATTACAAAGGGCACCCTGCTACACCTTTCCATGCCCTTGCGAATATCAGTCAACATTGAGAGTCAGTGGGTTTCGTAAAAACCTAAACTAACGCACTTCTTCATGTGAATTTAGTATAAACAAGCATTTGTATTAAAAACATGCGCAAATAACTTTTTGGCAAGCGTGCGATAAACTGATACCTCATTCATTTGATTACTTAGCCACACGAGTGCTGCAATTGTCAAGAGCTGCCCTCCTGTCGGGTGGTTTGGTCCTTCGACCAGATCACTGTTCCCCAAAATTTTGTTAGATAACACATGAGCCTTCCATCATACCAATAAACTTACTACGACCTCAAAAATAACTCAAGCGCTATACATACATATATACGTATATATTGTAGCGTCCCGAGACTCCCTGAAGACGAAAGGAGACACAATACTCGGGCAGAATATATATATTCAGCACGGAGAAGGTGCCTGAGCTATTGGCATGGCCCAAAAGACCAGCCCACCCAGCGAGGTACAAGGGGGCTAATTCAAAGTTCAAAAGTGGCGCCTCACCAGAACCAAGGGATAAACCACTATCGTATTACATAGCCTCCCTCCTCTTTTGAGCGTCGTCCCCGGCGCCCCCACAGGTCAATCTCCCGCGTCAGCCATTACGA